CCTCCTATTGGGGATTCACCAACAACGGTGTGCCCTGTCCCATCGTCGCTTTCGTTTCACCGCCCGCTGAAAAGCAAACACCCCGACTGAACCTTACAAGCGCTACTTCTCAATGGAAACTCACGTTCATGCTATTTTCGCTGTTGGAGAGTCGTGTAGGAGCCGCTTGCCTGACCTGAAGCGAGCAAATGTCAACAGGCAAATGAATACGAATGAAGAGCTTAAAGACAGTTTCCGTGATCAAGTGGTAAGCGAAATGCCTTCCGTGCATTTGGCATCGTTGTCCGCATTCGCAGAGAATATACCACTTTCGTCACTCGAAACGGCGAGATAAAGAAGCTAGAGACGCGTGATTATTGCAACCATTGCAACCACGATTACTTTCACTCTGCAAGACAACGGCTTACAAGCGGAATTGCGTGTGTACATAGCGTTGCCTGGAGCGTCGTAGGGTGATTTCCTGTGCTCTTGCTGGGAATTGGTTGCACGTCGAATCCTGCTGATTGGGCTTGCCGACGTCCGACAAACTCGTCCAAGGCGCCCACTGCTAAGGGAGTCTCTGTTCAGAGTGTTCCCAAGGTTTTTTCGCTTCTTTCTCTACTGGGGAGTTACTTATGGGCTACTGGATTCATGACTGAGCACCTACTACCGGTAACACTTGATCGCGGGAATAGTCTTTGAAGCCCAATTACTCTTGCATCCCCAAAGGGTTAAGAAAAAAGCATGTTAGGAGGGAGGGTCAACATCATCCTCAGTTGATTATTGCGGTATATGACAAGAATCGTAACTCACCGCGCTGCGGTGTGGCGAGGCACGAGTTCTCCCACCTAGCCATTCAAATTTGAATAATAAAGGGACAGTAGAGGGTCCTACTGAAGCATGCTAGCCGTAAGCAGTTTCGAGATTCTTCATGCGTTTTTCATTTCTAGCACCATCTGCTACTGATTCAGCGACAGGGTAGAGCTTGTTCACAGTTTATTTGAGTGAGGATTCAAACGTAATAGAAAAATATGCAATGATTTCTACGAGTTTCGTCCTCTAATCGAGAAACTGGCGCGCAGTTTGGGTTACTCGCGCCCATCACCACGTGACGCCCACATTGAAAATTTCCCGCGCTCATTGTCAGACGTCGTCGTGCGTCGCGCGCAATGGCGCGGCAAGTTACGATTCTCTTGCCTCTCCCGATGATTACCGAGCTGCTCGCACTTGAAGCCAGATTACTACCGTGCAGCCATCTCATGAATGTACAGGCCCTATAGGTTGCTACATTACAGCCTTGTTTGCTGTAGATGCTGGAATGTGTCAGAGAGGCGAGTTGGGTGCGGCGCCAAGTCGTTTGCCACCAATGGTTGTCGCTTACCCGCTTCCGTAATTGCTCAAGGGGGCTGGCGCCGCGTCAATCCTAGCGGCTCTGACATGTCTCAGCATCTACTTCGAACAAGACCGTATGTATGTGAGCTCTATGACGTTGGCGTGATGTGATTCTTGAAGATTCTGCTGGTGAATTATCAAAGAGTCTTCACCTTGAGATTGCTTTCTCCATCAAGATTTGCCGTTTCAACATAGGCGACAGAACCCGGTTCAGATGTGGCAAGAATGAGGCAATCAGCCGGTATCTGCTCACCATTCACAGCTCGAACCATTTGACCGACGTGAAGCTGAAAGAAGCTGAGCACACTCTGAGGTGCAGCTTGGTGCTGCCCAACCGCTCACGGACAAGAACCGCCCTTTCCTAATGAG